ATAGAGTTTACAGTTAACGTTTAGAGACTTGCGATTTTTTTATATTTTATTTCATACCTGCGTGTATTTATAGTAGACGTAATTCGTTTTACGTCAAGTGATTCAAGTTTAATATAAAAGAAACGAAACGTTGCGTTGAGTTACTTGTCAGTTCAAAATATAAATGAATTAATCCTGACAATTGCGTTTAATACACGCAGATTGCGAACGTCAGGAGCTACAGAAACCTTTCAGAAATAGCTTTATTTTTAAAAAAAACATGGTCAATTTTTGTTTTGTTTTGATCATGCAGTTGCGTGGGATAGTTCACGTACTTGTCCCGCGAACATCCCGCACGGAACTGTAGGGAGCCTCCTTAATATAAAATTCTAAATGGTTGAAGTGTTTATCAGTGATCAATGCTCATGTATAGTGTTCAGTTATTAAATCATAAAATTTTCATAATGCTTCCAGTTAAGCATCAATAAATTTCAATTGGTCCATTATCTCTTTTATATGATATATTGGGCTGAAATTAAGCTAGGATGCAGGCACACTTATATACATATTATGTTGATCCCAAAACATCATTTTTATAGTAAGGACGAATTACGAAATTGCACGCTGAATTTGCGACATTTTAATATTTTTTACGCTATTATGTTGTTCCCTTCCGTGACGGGAAGTTAGAATTAAATTTTTGCAAGCGCCTACATTTCTGGCCTTTATACGTTCCTTATATAATTCCGATCCTAGAAATATAAAATACAAACAGTACAGTCACACGGTTTTAAGGTTTTGAAATTTACAGAAGTAAAAGTTGGCTAATAATATACTTTATTCTACTCCGCCTTCTTGCACAAGTGCCAGTCGGAAGACGAAAAGAAGATATATAAATTATCACAGCTCGCCTGCAATTTAGGCGCTCAAAAAGTGTAGGTGCATGCAGAATTTAAGTAGAAGCTCCGCGCGTTTAGTGTGGTAATTGACTGTGCAGGCTGCAGCCTCTTTATTGTTTATTATTTATATTCATTGTTAAACTATAGTTTAATATGAACATTAACCATATAATTGATAACTTTTCTCGCTTACATATAATTTAAACCAAACATGTATGTAAATCGTGTAATTATATACAAATAATGAATATTTACGAGTGCAATGGTAAGAATATTTTCATGAGGTGAAAGATGGAATGTTCTATTCAACGAGGTGACAGCCGGTTGAATGGAACATTCCATCTTCCACCGAATGAAAATATGCTTACCATTGCACTCGTAAACATTCATTATTTGTTTTATATAATACCAAAATAGACTAATAGATTCATATGAGAAGCATTTTGAGGGATGCGATTTGTCGAAAACACAAAGAGTGCAATTGTACTATACGTTTTATTCCATTGCACTCGCAGAGAGTGCAATGGAACGTATTCCATTGCACTCTTGGGAAATGGAATTTTCTATTCAATATCACGTGACCATAAGCAGCCAATTAAACGATCAGAATTCAATAAGGTATCATGTATAATATATCTTCTACCGGCGGCCAAGGTCTACAGGTGCATCTCAGAAAATTAGAATGTCGTTGAAAATATTTCTTCACAGAAATTTGATCCAAAAATTCCAAATTTTATTGTCAGCAAGTCATTACGTGTAGCCCAAAATATATATATATTATCTCACGGTAGATCCACGCGTGGACACCACGCTCTGAAACAATATGGCGTTCGCGAGCTGTTGTTTGTAATTTCGTACAGAAGATTTCCCTACAAAATGATTAATTTGAATAATTTCAAAAATATATGTTATAGGTATGTTATTATACGTAATATAAGCTTCAATTTAATGTAAAATTCAACCACAAACACTTCGCAAAACGTTTTAAAATATGTTTGTGGTGTTACTCTGAGTGCATATCCACACCGGGCGAGCTTGAAAAATATGCCCGGCCACGGTGGGATTCGAACCTACGACCTTTGGAATACTAGCCCAACGCTCTTCCAAATGAGCTACGCGGTCAGGATGGTTCGAGTAAGTGATATTTCGGAACAGAATCTAGTTCCTTCGATACCAATGTATTCTAGTAATATGATTTTTTTTTTTCTGTGCTGGTGTTGTGTACTCAGGTGAATAATATGTTTGTGGTGTTACTCTGAGTGCATATCCACACCCGGCGAGCTTGAAAAATATGCCCGGCTACGGTGGGATTCGAACCTACGACCTTTGGAATACTAGCCCAACGCTCTTCCAACTGAGCTACGCGGTCAGGACGGTTCGAGTAAGTGATATTTCGGAACAGAATCTATAGTTCCTTCGGTACCAATGTATTCTAGTAATATGAATTTATTTTTTTCTGTCCGAAATATCACTTACTCGAACCGTCCTGACCGCGTAGCTCAGTTGGAAGAGCGTTGGGCTAGTATTCCGAAGGTTGTAGGTTCGAATCCCACCGTGGCCGGGCATATTTTTCAAGCTCGCCCGGTGTCGATATGCACTCAGAGTAACACCACAAACATATTATTCACGTGAGTACACAATACCAGCACAGAAAAAAAAAGTTTTAAAATGTTCTTTATAGAACTACACTGCCTATATCGATAAACCTTGAGTTTAAAATAAAATGTTTCCAAATTCTCGCATGCAAATAACCTTTGCTTCGTTTTTTTATTAAAAAATTTTTATATTGTAGAAAAGGTTAGTCAATAAAGATATACTGAAATTATACTGTATGCTCTCTTTTTTCGCAACGATCAGCTTTTAAAGCAATTACCAAAACAATACATTAATATTTGAAACTTATCTCAAAAAGCTCTTGAAATTTACGAAATCTTTCAAAAATGAAATATATTTGCAAGAAATCAGCAAATCAAGAAATGTTTGCCATTTGGCTGTCGTCATACAGTCGTTATAATGCAAATTTTAAATTGGACCAATCAGTATTCGCTATTCATGAGAGTCCACTATATTTTGAGATCAGTGAGGATGACAACCCACGCATGGTAACCCACTCACGCGATCATTGATGAACTTTAGACTTCGCTAATGATTTCCTTTCCCCGGAGGTAAATAGCCGGACGGAATTAATATACCCTCGCACGCCGATGACCCGGGGATTAAAATTTGGCTAAAAAATATAATTTCCTATATGTGTTGATGGTATAGACATCGCACGTTTTCCATAAAATCATGCGCAAGACAAGCCATAGTTTCGCATTAAATTAATTACAACACCTTAGTCGATCCCTTTCCATAATCCTGGCCTTGATAATTATTATACCTTTTATTGCCGAGATCAGTCGTTCCAAGATCCGCCATGTAATGTGTAGTGAAATGTATCTCATCGTAATATTCAAAACTAAGGCCTGTGCGGAGGAGAGAGGGGCCATCATGTTTTTCGACATTTAATTTTTGAATATTTCCAATATTATGTGTTTTCACATAGTCTTTGTTGTTAAGCGACGAATTTCGTTTCTGTATAGGAATACAACGCCAGCTGTTTGCCAGACGCAATGAAGGACAACATAACAGGTATTTGGAAAGCAAACTTCGCTGTTAGAATATAAGTTGTCGAGTTATTCAATTCCTTGGTTACTCAATTATCCTTAAAGTGCCTATATCACTTGTGGGATATTTACAGATTTGGAAAGAGCACAAAAAGTTAGTTTGTAAGTTCTTCAACCTTTTTTGATTTGGTTCAGTATTTTCCGAGATATTGACCCTCAAACATGACAATTTTCAAAAAAATCCGTCGTGCTTGGGGGCCTGGGACTCAGAAACGCAAGCGTAAACAAACACTATAGAATTGTATTATATTTTGACGCTGTAACTTACTAAAGTGAGAATTTTTGCAAGAAAAGTCGGTTTATTAAGCTCAAAATCGTTCTCTGGTACTGAAAAAAGTTCCTACGATTGCGCTGAATATAAACTGAAGGTGAAACGTACAAAACCACTTCAAAATCAAATTTGAAAGTGCTCCTTCGTAGATGGCATCTAGTTTCGTCGAGCATGAAAATGTTGGCATTTAAAGCTACACTGACGAAATATGGGCCAAAGAATACGTTTGAAAGTTGGAAGAATATAACAAGGAAATAAGGAAATTCATTTTCACATGAAACGGACCTTACATGTACAGTATATCGTGATAGTTCTTCGTATTAAAGTGAATAATATATTTTCTATATGTAAATGTATTTGCCATTTGCAATTTAATACCATATTTTGGGTTGTCTTTGAGTAATTATGTTTTGCAGCTTGAATTATTGGGATATAAAAATTAAGTAAAGGAGGAGCTTTTTCGATTCTATTTTGTACTGTTGAATATCACAATACATTTCATCATTCAATGATTGTATTAGCTTTATTGCTGCAATAGACCAATATATAAATACTTGGCTTGAATTTATGGCTTTGCTGTTATTAAATGGTAAAGCTCCCAACATTCCAACCCTTGCCATTCCAACCCTCACAAGAGGGTTGGAGCCATGATGAAATCTGCAAGGATCCAGGCCAGTTTATGTGTACCTGGTTTGCAGGGCTGACCCTGTTTGAAAGGTCTTGTACAGATGAAAATTATTGAGTGGAAATTTATGTACATTTATTAAATATCCTTCTATACAAGACCCTTCAACTATTATTGAATTGAATGAGAAGCCAGGTTCCCGGAAGCACAACCTGAAGACAAAAAATTCCTTTATTAGTATTAGAGTATTTTTGTGCTAAATCTGCATGTGCATAAACATATAGTGTTCTAGCTGACCATGGTTTTAAATTCAAGGAATAATGTCTGTCAACCATATGTTGTTGCACCCATAGTGGGACATGGGTGTTAAGGTTTCCTTCAAATGTTAATCAATAGCAAATCTTCATTCAAACAAATTTCCTGCAGCTGTATAACATTGGGTCATTCCAGAAAAGTTCAAAACATCCATACCACCCCCATGGAGGAAATAGGAAGTTAACCCCCCTACCCCCTTCGGATGTCCTAATACATTTACTATTATCAGAAACAATTTTTTCTCCCCTCCCCCTCCGGATGGCAGAAATTTCCTCCGTGGGGGGAGTATGGATCTTTTCCGGAACGACCCATTTACTGCGCATGAACAGTGCTCACCTTTTTTTCCCACCCCTGTATATATTGGTTACAGCAAGCGCAGTGCACTGGAATTGCAGGGCAGGTTGGATTTCTGCCAGCGATCAGCAGTTGCATTTCGATTTTTCACAACTTTTCCTGGTTAGGTATAATAAATGCATATAAACTTCTACTCGATAATTTCCATCTATACAAGACCCTTCAACTATTATTCAATTCTGTATAACCTGTCTTCCTAAGCTGTTCTTGTTGATCAAGTTTTTAAATAAACATTTTCCTGTACACGGTAGCACGAATTCAGTTCTTTTTTTCATGACTTTGACTCCTTTGTCTGTTGACTTTTTTTAAAAAAATAAACTAAGATATTATTTGTGCACTATGTGTGCTGTAACTTTATTAAATGCAAGTTAATGACAAAAAAATCAAGCATGCATTAATTAAAGTTGGACCATTAACGCCAAATAGAATTTTTGGTTTGTGTGATATTTGGGTCAAAATTCTAATAAGAAAGGTAATGCATCTTTATAGTAAAAATTCACCTAATGACATCATATCTGGAAACTTTGACAGTGAAAAGGTCGATGAAGAAGGGATTTTTTATTATAGAGATAACATTTCTTCGAACGAATGACACATATATTGCACATACCAAAAATCATATTTGTAGTTTATAGTCGTGCTTTAAAATTATATTTCTTATTTCTCATTTTCCAAATATTCATATCCTTTGAAGTCATCATCTTTCCCATTAAAAACTGCAGATAGTTTGATAAACAGAACACAATGGTATTATTTCATCTTTTTTACAACCATGAGCTAATCTGGTGAATCACATGTATGCCACTGATATAAAGACCTAAAAGCAGAGATATAATTATACCTTAGACTTTAATAATATATATTTCTTTAATCAAGTAAAGATGAGGCAAACCAGTGATCTGTTATACAGCTTATTCAAGAGTCAAGACACAGTAATCTGTGCAGCTCAAGCTTTGCCTTGACATTTAATAGCAAGGTGTATTAACCTATTCCTATAATACACAGAAACTTTGCATGGCCCTAATAAACTGAATATGTCCAGCAATAAAGCTTTTCAAATGATCAGATCAAAAGCAATTGAGGCAAACAGAATCAATTCCTGCATATTTTGTGAATGGCAAATCAAACCGGTTATCCCATGTCTATATCAAATTTTATAGTGTTTTTCAATAGTTAAGCTATAATAGTATTGAATCTAAAATGCACAATTTTACGTTTGTTTACTTGCAGTCGCAGAATATTAATTGCCAAATGAGTCGACTATCACACGATATTTACAAATGGAAAATCACTTACCGAGAACTAACACGATTATGCCCGTTCCATCTATAAATAATTTCTTTACATCCCTGTTATATTCTTCTAGCTTTCAAAACATATTCTTCAGTGTATGCCACTATGCCAACTCTTTCATGCTCGACAATTATGCAGCCAATGCTTGACGACATTTAGGAAAGCTCACTTTCAAATTTGATTTTGAAGTCGTTTTGTGCGTTTCACCACGATTTTATATTTCACGCAATTGTATATGAACTTTTGTCAGTACTGGAAGACAATTTTGAGCTAAATAAATCGAGTTTTCTTGCCAAAATGATCATTTTAGTAAGTTATAGCG